TCCTGCCTTGCGTTAGTAGTGGCTCCCCACGTTGCGGCTCGAAGTTTACGGTGAGCTTTTTGTCGCACGCCATGAATCGGCCACCTTCTTCCATATTGCAAAGCCTCCCTGCGACTTTCTTCCCCTTTGCCCTGCTGATCATCCAGTATGTGCATTTCAAAGAGGCCCTTACATATATTCTCATCAGCTTCACCGAGGCCGCCAGCTCCTCACTTGTGAGATCATGTAGTAGCATCGCCTTCCATTCTGCCGGCGCCGCTCTAAACGCTTTCAAATCCCAGCCGGATTTCCCTTTGTCACCCAGTTCCCTTATCGGGACCTCCAACCCCTTGAGGCTGCACGTTCGGTCGTTAGGCCTTTCAGCTTCGTAGTCTCTTTTTGGTTCTCGAAAGGGCTTGTGCCCCTGAATGACATCCTCTAATTAAAGGCCAGTAGCAGGGGCAGCAGTGGCGGTGTCAGAATCCTAGCGGCTAAAAGCAAGCGATAGTGGCTATAACAGCAGTAGCACGAGCGGCAACAGATGTAGCAAGGAAGGCAGTGGTTGTAGTAGGGGCGGTAGTGGCTATAGGAGGGATTAGCAGGGGCTGTGGTGGCTGTAGTGGTAGTAAGAGAAGCGGCAATGGCAGTAGCAGGGGTGGCAGTGTTCGGGGCGGCAGTGGCTGTTGTAGCGGTGGCGGTGGCAGTAGCTGCAGCTGGTGGCGGCGGCAGCTGCTGTGGTTGTAGCTAGCGGCGGTGGCGGCTGGAACTGCAGCTAGCGGTGGCTATAGCTGTAGCTGCTACTGTGTGCATCTCTGGCGGTGGCGGGCTGCAGCTGCTAACGCGGTAGGCTGCAGCAGTGGGGCAGCGCACGGGTGGCAAGCAGTAACTAAAGCAGCAGTGGGCTGCTCCCACGGCTGCTCCTTTGAATGGGGGCACTGCTATCGCAAGGACCGCGGGGGCCTGGTAGGCGACGTAAGCGGGGCCTGCTGGGGCCTGCTAGGTGACATAGGCGGGGCCTGTCGAGAGGGCCTCTAAAGAGCGACGAGAAATCTGGCCGTATTGCGCACTAGGGAGCGAAGTCGCGAAGCGCGCTAGGAAAGAGGGAAGCGAGGCACACGAGGGAACGAAAGTGTGAAATCGAGCTAAGTCATTGGGGGGGGGGGGGGGGGGGGGGGGGGGTCTAGGAACGAGGATATTAAATGCAAGTGGAAGCTTGACCTAACCTATCGCTCTATACCATATCGATAGAGGAGAAGTGCACTTGGGTAAAGTCGGGAACACAAATTCGAAGTGTTATCCCCTCTACAAACTAAGCCTTTGTGTAGCCTAATAATAAATGTATATGTATAGAAACATACAAGCATATATTTGTCAGTAGATCTGCACTGTGGATGCCTGATTGATCCTAGGGGGGGTTACAGGCGCGTTCGCCTGGTGGGTTATGGACGCACGGACCTGCTACACAAACAAGTCATTTTATCCCAATGGTTTAGTGGTTGGGATTTTGACATGGTATCAGAGCGGTCTCGGGTTCGAATCCCGATGTATGCACATGTAGGCCGTTGCTGCTGTGCTCGGTCCTGTGCCTCCCAGCGTGGGGGGGTGTCAGTAGATCTGCACTGTGGATGCCCGATTGATCCTGGGGGGGGTTACAGGCGCGTTCACCTGGGGGGTTATGGGCGCACGGACCCGCTACACAAACAAACCCTTTTATCCCAATGGTCTAGTGGTTGGGATTCTGATCATAATTTGGCAGATGCTCCATTTCAACCTCCCATATGTTTGTTGGCAACGATGTCGTGCAGAAGGGAGTTGCAAACGCACACAGTCGCGTGATCAAGTGGAAGAAAAACGCTCGGACCGAGCGTTTTCTGCCCCAAAACGTGGAAGGATCCGCAGATGTGCAGAAAATGCAGCAGGTATGGTTCATTCCAACTTGCGCTTCCGTTCACCCAGTACTTGAGCTGAGAATTGTTTGCGAACATGATGTCCAGCTCAAGGGGCATCCCACTTCTTGAAAGAGTCTTGTCCCGGCACCGGTCGGCTCACATTTTTATTTGCGATGCTGTCCACCCTCTGCTTAGGGCAGATCACCCCCATCCCTCCTTCCTTCCTTGGAGTACAGAGCAGTGCGTAGTTCCAAAGGATGAACTTCTCCTCCCTCGTCACCTGCCATCGAGTCACAAAGTTATGGCATGTCTTATGTAGCTTTGTGCAGATCTCCTCTTGGGGTAAGTTGATTTTCGCCTGCAATATGAAGATAGGGTCTATGCAACTGTTGACAATCATACCTTGTGCCGACATAGTCAAATGCTGCATCTCCCAACGAGCTAACGCTCCTCTTGCCCTGTCCCATGCCTTCTCCCAGGAGAGCCGCGGTCGCCATTCGGAGTGATCCATACCCCCAGCAGGCGCTCCGGCTCGTTCTTATCTGCCCATTTGTAGTGGAGATCCTGCGGCGCCTGAATCGAGCGGTGGGAAACGGAATTTGGTGGCGAACTCCTCCGTAACAGTTGGAATGCATGACGCATTCTTGCTCGAACGCAGCTGCACCAGTTTTATGTGGACGTCTCCCACAAAACATCTAGCACCATCAATGCTCTTCATTGAACAGTCGACGATCCTCCTCGCCAATAGTGAGGACCCCAGGCGCAACTGCACGAGGTTAGACAAATCCGCTTGGAGGAGTTCCATGACATGCCGTATGTGGGACACTTCGGAAGCAACAAAACTCAGTCAACAAAACAAAATATTACTACTGCCCCCGGATGGCAACAGGCATGCACCTTGTGTGACACCTGTCAGCAAATTAAGACTAGCAAGCAAAAAAAAGGCAGGGTCAATTCAACCGTTACCCGTACCGAGCAGCCATGGCAAGTGGTTAGCCTAGAACTATTGCCCACATAACATGGGTGTTACTATAAGGTACTGAGGTTTTGGAACCAGCGGGAATAGAGCATTCCTGGATTGGTAAGGGAATTCGGCGAACAATCTCGCACACGCAATATCACACGAGATAAATAGATTTAGGTGCAGAAAATTGTGAAATCCGGCAAACACAATCATTTTTATTTCTATAACTGAAATATGGAGTAGGAAAGGAAACTAGTAGGAAATAAGTGCCAAAAATGAGATAGAATTTATGAATATGATCATTCAAGGTAGAATGGACGGCGTACTCTCACACCATTGTTGCTGAGGTCCCCATTCATGGAGCTGCTGCTGCTGCTACTGGACCTGCTGCTACATCTGCTGCTGCTGGACCTGCTGCTACATCTGGTGCTTCTGCTGTTGCTGATGTGTCCCTGCCACACCCCCATTGCCAGCAACCTGGGCAGTCGTACCTGCAATGCCGACCTCGCCTCCAGAGCCACCTCTTGATGCACCAATACCTCCACCACCTCCACCTCTACCACCCTTCCCTCCCTTCTTACCTCCCTTGCCTTGTTTCTGCCAACCAGTGGCAGAAACACCTGCAGTCTCCTCGGTAGCAGACAACTCAGCTGCAGCAAGAGAAGCAGTCAAGGTGGGGAGCTGGGCCAGAGAGCACATCTCAAAGTGGTAAGGAACTACTCCACCAGTATCGGAGGCAACGGAGCGGAGGTTACCCTCGATCTCATTTAAAGTGGTCTCAATGAGTTTGATGGTAACCTTAGTGGGGTGCTTTTGGAGAAGCGCGTCACGTACAGATGAGAGGCGGTTTGGGAGACAAGTGACGATGAAAAAGATGGTGGCAGCAAGTTGGGTGGTGGCTGGCAAGTTGGGTGTCAGAACAGGCAGCACGATAGCTAGCGTCGAGCGAGTGCAGGTGAGTGATTAGATCATCAGTAGTGTGAAACGCAGTAAGGTCTGGAAGAAGAACGACATGAGGAGGCGTCCCAGGGTGGTAGAGGAAGGAGTGGAGTAGCGAGAAGCAATAGCATCAAAGCACTCCTTCTCAGACGTGACCTGGCTGAAGAGGATGCACTTGGTCGGCGGGAGGAGGTTGCTGAGAGCGAGACGAGCTTGGCATGCAGCAACCAAGTGCTAAAGTCTATAGCTCGCCCTTCTGCGTTGAAATGCAGAACTCGATTAGACGCCATGTCGAGAGCTAGCTGGATCAAGCGGCAGCTGTGCGGAAGAAGGGCTAGGAATAGCAGGTGGGCTAGGAATGCCTGGCTAGGAAGCATAGTAGGAAGCATGGTAGGAACGGCTTGTTAGAAACGGCGGGCTAGGAACGACTGGCTAAGGAATGGCCGGCTAAGAACGGTGAACTAGGAACAAACGGCGCCAGTAGGAGTTACTACTGCTTCCAGCCGCTGCTAGGAGTACCGCTAGCGAGGGAGTGGTAGGTGATGGCGGACGTAAGGTGGTGGCGTGCACTGCAGACGCGCAGGCGGTGGCGCACGCTGCTGCTGGTGCACGCCGCTAGATGCGCTGGCGCTGCGAGCGCTCTGTCGGCGGGGCGCGTGCTGGCGGTGCGCGCCGCGGATGCGCGCGCTGTGCTAGCGGGTAGCGCGTGTTGGCGCATGCACATTGCTGGCGGGGCGCGAGCTGGCATGACGCGCTGCTGACGTGCTGACTGTGTGTGCGCTGTTCTGGCGGGCGCGAGCTAGCGGGTAGTTTGCTGAGGGCTGGCAGGCTGGCTGGCTAAGTCTGGCAGTGGCGCCCTGCTAAGGCATGCTGGCTGCCCGTGCTAAGGCGGTCTAGGAGGTAGGTAGGCTAAGATGCCAGAACTAGAACAAGCGGAATGAGTGCACTGAAACAAGAAAGTGATTCAGGTACCTGACCCCAACCCAGGCTAACCATTGTGACGTGACAAATGTTTCAAATACAATTCAACACATGTAACCACGCCATAGGAGGGCATGCTCGACAACAACTCGTCCCCATATGCGAACTTAGAGCACTCAATTGAGAGTTATAGTGAATACATAAGGGACATGTAAATCAGGGAGCGGTTCAACATATAATGCTGCAAAAGTGGGATCTTAACACTAAAACAAGGCTAAGCAGCAATGCAGAGAGGCACCTCCAACAACCTACCTATGGCCTCCAGCACCCCCCCCGCCACCCGCTGCGCCCCCCGCAGACTCCGCAGGGAGGGGAGGGGCCTTGTACCCCATCTTCCTCCCCAGCTCCGACAGCTGCTCCACAAACTGACTCCCCGCCAGCATCTCAGTCGTCCCATACACCACCGTGCGCACTCCTGCCGCCCCGCTCCCCGCTCCTGCCTTCCTTGCCATCTCTTGCAGACCCCCATACTCCATATAGTTTCCCCCTCCAATCACGAAGACAATTGCGTCCCGGACTGCCCCCCTGCTGCCCCCTGCTGCTGTGCTGCTGATTCCCCCCTTGGGGGCCTTGGGGTCAAGGCAGAGAAAAGAATCCGTATCCTGCCCGGGCCGGCCCTCCATGAGAGCTTCAACTGCCCGGGTCAGCTGCAGCTGCCTGCCCCCAGCCAAAAGATTCTTCACACCAGCAGTCACACGGGACAAACCCTGCCCAGCAAGCCGCCCGGCCCAATCCAGCAGATCATCCTTGCTGCCGCCCACGCCGCCCACTCCTCCGACCCCACCCCCCGCAGCAGCCACGGCAGCAAAGCTGGAGTTGACGCGCTTCACCTGCTTGATGTAATGCAGAGCGGCCAGATCCACTTGCTGCTCCCTCAGCGCTGCTTCCACCGCCTCCACATCCCCCGCACTCGCATTGTCCGTCGCCATCAGGTAGATTATCGCCAGCCGTAGCTTATCCTCCTTGGACCCCCTCTTCCTGAGTAAGTCGAGCATCGCCGCCCGGTCCGTGCTGCCCCGCGTGAGCAGATCCTCCTCCATGGAAAAGTAGGCGTCGAGCGCGCGCGATTTGATCTCCTCGAGGAGCGTGCCGCCGATGGTGACGTGCTTGTCGATGACTCGCTTGCGCTCCATCAGCTGCGGCACCGCGCTCATGGCGGCCGACAGCTGCTTCGTGCGCCCCATCACGTCCTCGTCCTCGGCTTCTGAGAACGCGTCCCCCGTGGGCGAGGCTGCGTTCACCTGCTCCTTGTCCTGCGTCCACTTCTTCAGCAGCATGTCCACCTGTGTGGGAAGCGGGGAGCAGGGGACAAGGCGACGGTGATTTGAGGATGGAAGGGGGGGAGAGGGGACAGACGGTTGCTGCGTTCATGTGCTCCTTGTCATGCTTCCACTTGTACAGCAGCATGTCCACCTGTGAGCGGGGAGAAATGGGGATAACGGGAAGAATGGAGAAGAGCGTGAGAAAGTAGAGCAGTGCGGGCGAAGAGGGAGAGGAACCTAGCAGTTGGGCTTGTGGCAGCGGAGATGCTAAGTGCGCCCCATCATTTCCTCCTCATCCTCGCCTGCTGTAAAGAAAGTGGGGGAGACATGTGCGGGCGATGCTTGATGAAATGAGAGGAGGGATCACAACAGGGCCACCTAGGATGCCTGAAGGAGCGAAAGGAAGTGAAGGCACACTAGGGATTAGAAAATCCTCAACAGTTTGTTCCAAAACTCAACCGAGCTCAACCACTTTTCACCCTGCCCCATCACACTCACCGCTTCGGCTGCCTTGGGAAACGGGGACTCCGAATGAGCCACCCAGAAGCTATCCGAATCATCGAGCTCATAACTGGTCGCCTTGGCTCCACCACCCCCTCCAGCTCCCTTCAGCACCGGCGACAGCGGCCCGCTCCCTGCCCCGGCTCCCCCTGCCGCCCCTCCCTTGTGAATGCTCACTCTATTGAGCCTCATCCCCAACAGATCATGCACCAACGGACGGTACGTCCACTCGTGCTGCACCCCCACCGCCAGCTCAAAATTCCGATCCGCTATGAACAGCAATGGCCGCTGAAACAGCCCCAGCGCACCCCCTCCCCCAGCCCCCGCTCCTGCGCCCCCTCCCCCAGACGCCACAGCCGCCGCTCCTGCTGCCAGCGCCCCTGCCGCTGCCTCCTTGAAAAGGTTGTTGTGTGTGGCGAGGTGCGCCCTTAGCTTCGCATCCAGCTGCCTGGCCACCATCTCTGCTGGCCCTCTCTCCGGGCAGCGGATCACGGGCACCACTCCCAGCGTCACCAGCACGCAGAACAGCCCGTTCACGATACTCTCCACTGCCCCCTCCACGTCCTTGTCCTTCGCCATTGGGTCGTTCAGCCGCACGTAGCTCTCGGGCTGCCCGAGCGAAAACAACCCGTGATCAAGGCAAACAAACTCCAAATACTGATCAAACACCCTTGCCACGCGGTGTAGGGCATTCGCCTTGAGGGTACCCGCTGCGAGGTCTTCTAAGAGAAGGCGAGGCACGGAGGAGGTGAAGTTGAGATGCATCTTGTCGTACGTGCCGCGCGTGGCGTCCAGCACGAGGCGCTGCATGTTGCCCGCCGTGGGCTGCAGGAAGTAGACTGCGGGGACGTCCGGGATGGGCTGGCGGTCTGCATCGACCATCAGATGGAGAGTTATGCCGTGCTTGCGCAGGTCGGACACCTGCAGGGAGAGGGGAAGAGGGGGAAAGAGGAGGGTGAGGGAGGGAAAAAGGAGGGTGGGGGAGGGGGAACAGGGTGGGGGGGAGAAACAGGAGGGTTGGGGAGAGAGAGGAGGGTAGGGGAGGGAAAGAGGAGGGTGGAGAAGGGAGAGCAAGGGAGGAAGTGGTGAGCTGTGGGCACGTCCAAAATGAGGCTGAGCGACTGGCATCCACCAGTCAATCAGATGTTGTCGCAGTTGCGGGAAAAGGCGGCAGAAGAGGAGGGCATATGGGGGATGGGTTGGCGATCGGCGAAATGGAATTGGTTGAAGATTAGAGGACGGGAGAAGGGAAAGTTTCGGACTCTGGCATGCCGCCCGATTCTACCTTGAGTATACTAGACACAAGCTTCACACCTTGAGCACCGAGCCTTTCCTTGACCACCGAGCCTTTCCTTAAGCACCGAGCCTCGTCCTGAGGAGCGGCGATATGAGCTCTCTCAAGCATCTGTCCAGCAGACAGCACCTTGCACACGTCGCCGTTCGACGACAAGGATGCCTCGCCTTCATCGCCTGGTTTCACCTTCCACGCGAGGAGAGAGAGGAGGCGTCACCTTGAGGAGCGGCGAGATGAGGTCGCGGGAGTATTTATCGAGCAGCAGCACCTTGTACACGTCGCCGTCTGACGCCAGCCCGCCGCCCACCGTGACTGTAACGGGGCTGTTGAGGTTGAGCATGCGCACGATGGCGTCTGGTGGTGCGCACGGGCGAACAGTGGGATCGAGAGGGATGAGGAACGGTGAGTGGGAGTTGAAGGGATAAGCGTAGGCAAGGAGGAGAGAGGCGTGTGGCGGGGCTGTTGAGATTGATGTGCGCACGAAGGCGTCAGGTCCGCACGGACGAACAGTGGGACGGAGGGGTGAGGAGTGGTGCGATGGAGGGGTGAGGAGCGGTGCGATGGAGGGGTGAGGAGCGGTGCCATGGAGGGGTAAGGTTCGGTGAAGATGGAGGGGTGAGGTTCGGTGAAGATGGAGGGGTGCGGAGCGGTGAGCAGGGGAAGAAGAATAGAAGGGGATGGAAGGGATACAGAAGGCAGTGTGGAAGCGAGGCAGCGAGGCAAAGAGGAAGTGAGGCAGACAGGCGAAGAGATAAATTCCAGTAGCGTGCCGGCGATGATCTTCCTGTCAGCGAGAACCCGCGGAGCTTCTGCTACCTCTCACCCGATTTGCCGACACATGTTGCGTCCCCACAACCGCGTACCTATCTGCTTCTGTCGCAGAGAGAGCGCCATGATGCGATCGCCTCCTCTGCCTCGCCTCCTCAGCCAACACCCCTATCGCGAGGCCTCTATCGCTGAAGCTTCTATCGCGGATGCCTGCTGCCTGCAACGGGTGGGAGGACGATCAGAGAGTAGGCATATCACATGTCCCAGCGTGATTATAATGCGGACGCTTGCAGAGTATGAAACAGATGACACTAATTGAACTATAATGTGCACTAACGTAACGAAAAAATCCAGTTTTGATTGACTAAGGAATGTAACAAAGGCGATGCTAGACGAGAACAAAGTCTTGAAAAATGCTCTCAACGAGACGCTCGACCAGAATCAGAGAATTGCCTTGCCAACGACTGACGGCGATTGTACGGAGCTCCTTTCGATGCAATTCGGCAGAGGTCTTCCTGACCCAAGAGATTCTCGGCCCTGGAGCTTTGTAGCTGGGACAGGGAAGAGGAAAAGAGCGCAAGTGACGGAAGGTAGGGAATAGCGAATTCGAGCTTTTGAGGCCAACGTTTTCATCAAAGTTTGTTTTGATGAGGAAGCAGATCCGACCGAACCGAACCGAACGAGCCTTGATTGGTGAAAATGTTTTCCCGCACTGGTGCGACAGTCTTGAACCAGAGCAAGTCTGACACCCTAAGTACGCGTTAGGGCGTGGAACATTTGGGACTTTTTCCAAACGAATCGTACTGCATGGACGGTTAAAAATGGTCTATACGGTAAACGCTATGGGGTACGTTAAAGTAAGTTCCGAACGATTGGTTCGTTTTGGAAAAAAATACAACCCCCAAATGCTCCACGCCCTTAGATGAGTTTCAATGAAATCACCATTCGTCGAAAAAAATATCCTCCCTACCATCCCCCCAATGACAATGACAATTCCAAGGCCGCCATGGGCGTTCCCAAACTTGAACTAGGCGACGGTAAAGCCCACGTGTCAGCTGGCTTAAAACACAACAGCATTGTGGTCGCCTCGTTAAGACGAAGAGATGGGTACAGCCAATGTGTTCATCTTGTTGCGATCAGAAGGTTGAGCGTGCTCGTGGCTGATTTTTTCAGACTATGTTTGTCTGATTGTCTGAAATTTCAGACCTTTTTTTCTGATTGTCCTGATTTTTTAGAATTGGCTGTTTTTCAATAATGAGTGCTTCAGACTTATGTTTTTCTGGATACTGAAAACATCAGAGCATATGCTTACCGAATAATGGGTTCCCTGACTACAAGGAGTACGGTACAAACTCTGAAGGTAATTCCTTATGGTACCTTCTACAACATTTCCCCTTCTCTACCGTACCCCCCCTACTGATGTTTACCGTTAGTGAACTCTGCTTAGTCTGAGATTTTCCTGAAAGCAACCTCCTCCTCATAACTGTTGCACGATCGACGTGTCGCCTGACTCCAGCGCTTTCAGTTCCACGTCCATGGCTGCACGGCACTCCTTGGAGTGTGGACCCATGAGGGCCTGTCGCAGATTCTTAGGCTCGTCGATGCGCGGGGCGGTGGTGGTAGCAGCGTGTAGGCCGAAAGTTGTAGGCCCGTGACATTCTCCTCACCACGCCTTTCCCGGATAGTTACTTCAACCACGTCGTCGTTATCGCTGTCGTGTGCAGACGGAGTGGTCCGTGCAGGGTCCTGGCGCCGAGAAGGTCCGTTCGCAAGAGTGTCATCATTATCATCATCATCATTGTTCGTCGGTGGGGTCGTGGTCGAGAGCCGCTGCTGCTGTCTCATCTACGGGGGAGGCGAAGCTTCTGCCACTGTAAGCATCAGCTTGTATTCGTTGATCCTCGAGCCGGTTGTTGGAGGTGAGACGTTCGTTGAAGAGTATGTCTCGTGCAGGTACGATCTTGTTTGTATCAATGTTAAGGATCAGCGAGCCCTTACATTCATAACTGATGACCATGTGAACTCCCCAACGTGCCCGATCAATGAGCTTGCCGATGGTAGCAGATGTCGACCTGTATTGAACCATGCAACCCCAGACCCTCGGCATGGAGGCGTCTCCCATTGTCCCAGTCCACTTCATGTGGGGTGAAGGGTATCCCCTGTTGGCTGTGGTGGACATGAGGTTGAGAAGTCGCACGGCGTGGTGCATAGCGTAAAGCCAATACTTGAGAAGGAGGCCGGACTGCTTCTGGAGCGCGCAGACTTTCGTCATAAGGGTGCGATTGACCCGCTCAGTGACGCCTTGCTGCTGGTGAGCATAGGGGAGTGAGATGTGGCCCTAAATCCCCGTCTCTGTGAGGAAGCTTTGTAGCTCTCCTTTGCGCCATTTGTCTGGCAGATTTTCAGCTTCTTTCCCGATTGTCGCGGCGCGTGAGCCAGCCAGACGTGAAAAACTTCAGGTGCCTTCGAGCGGATGTCGACGTTTGCGACTCAAACGTAGAGCGAGTTGGCGTCCACGAAGGTAGTGTAGCTCTCATCATTGACTCCGCTGTACCCAATGACAATGAAGTCGCTTTACACCTTCTGCAACTTCTTGTAGCGGTTGGTGCTACTCTAGTGAGGGGTAGGCATGATGCACAAGGGCAACTGTGAAGCAGACAGTGCAAATCTGTGGTTGTGAGGTCCTCCGTGGTTACGTGCCGTCAGGGCATAGTAGAGCGCTAGGCCGGAAGACCTTGGCCGGTGAGGCATGTCTTTAACGTCTAGCGCGAGGGGTGGCTGAGTCGTTGGTGCCAGAGGTCATCATCTGCGCGACTGCAGGTATCGTGCGTGATGCGCGGCTGCCTCTGCTTCTTTCTTGTGGGAAATGCAGAACATGGGTCCTTCCTCTTCTCCTGGTTCTGCTTCTGCTTCTTCCTCTTCGTCTGCTTCTGCTTCTGCTTCTCCTTCTGCAAGTGCTGTTGACAGATAGAGCGCGATAAAATTACTGTCGAGGATAGAGTTGAGCGGAGTAGTGGTTCCTATGATGAGTTGTGCGAATGGATCGGGGTGTGGAAGGGGACCGTACGCGCCGCGAGCCAGAGTTAGGGGTTCATTGCCTCGGTCGAGGCCGGTCCAGGTAGAGTGCCAGACTTGGGGTGAGTGAGGTGGTGATGGCAGGTTGCGCGGATGTCGCCTGAGGGGAACTACGACTCTTGGTCCGCTCGGCGGCCATTTCTCTTTCTGCCTCCTCTTGTTCTTCTCCTGTGAGGCCACCTTCAGTCTCAGTGTTCCCCCAGCCTCCAGTGTTTCCCCGGCCTCCTCCGCCGATGCCCCAGCCGCCTAAAGTGTCTGAGGCACCAGTTGCTGACGCCCATGTTCCTCCTGTGTTGCTTGGGTCTTCTATGTTGCCGCATCCCCATCCTCCGTCAGTGGGGGCGGATCTTGCCGATTCGGGGTCCCATCCTACCGCGATTCGCTCCTGAATAATTTCTTCTCTCTCCTCTTGCTTCGCTTTCTCCTCGTCTTCCTTGACGCTAAGCTCCTCATGTGCAACAGGATCCCCACTCCTTGTTCTTTTCGCGGCGATGGATCTTGCGGGTGTAAGGAAGTGGCTGGTTTTGCTCGTCATGCACTCCTTTCGATTCTCCTTCCAGGATCCAGCGGAGTGTTTCAGCTGCGGGGGCGGGCCGCTCCTCTTCAGGTACACCAAGTCTTTCTGTTTGGCACCAAAGATGCGGTAGGAGACAGTCGCAATTTCCATCTCTGTCATGCCTTCCGTCGGTGGTGCAGCGCTTTCCGCTTCCTCAATTGCCGCCAGCTCTCTCTCGACTGCTTCAATGCGGCTTGCCGTGGGCGTGAAGCAGCTAGTGCGACGTCCATCAGGCCCAGGTGAGTTCAGATTTATCTTGCAAGGGTGAGGGCTGCGTCTGATCCAGGGCCGCCGTCAGGGTGCTTCCATGAGTTTTCGGACTTATAAGCAAAGTCCATGGGAAGGAGGTCGACGAACTCGTCAGAGGATGCCTTGCAGTCAGGAAGATCGAATTCAAGAACGTAGACTCTGTTAATGGAGCGCGCTCG